TCTCACAGTTCAGATTGATGAACATAAATTTCCTGCAGCTGAATGTCAACAACACAGAAGCCATACTCTTTAGCTCCTGTCAACAATTTCATTCCTGTGGGTCTGAACTCCTCAACCTCAGACTCTCTGAACCCATGCACAACGTAGGCGTTAGGTTCAATCCCCAGCTTTTTTTTCTACCACACATCTGTTCCCTGACCAGGACCATTTTTCTACCTCCACCACATTGCCGGACTTCGTCCGTACCTCACAACCAATGCAGCCAAACTCTTGTTCACCCCTTTGTCACGTCCTGTCTATTCCAATACCCTCCTCGCTGGTCTCCCCAGCTCCACCATACACAAAATCTAATTAATTGAAAACTCCACCACCCGGATACTCACCTGCACAAAACCCTGAACCCCCATCACACCAGTCCTTGCCAGGCTCCACTGGCTCCCAATTACCGAATGGATCGATTTCAAAATGTTCTCACTCGTTTTCAAATCCCTTCATACCCTCGCACTTCCCTACCTATCCAATCTGCTTACCTCCCACTCCGCTCGCCTGGCTTCAGCTTTGTTTGTCCTTCGTCCCCTCTACTCCACCACCAGTAACCGCACCTTCGTCCACTAAGCCCCAAAACTCTGGAACCCACGCCCTCCCCAATCGCTCCACCTTGTCCCCTCCCACCCCACCTTCAAAACCCACCTAAAGACCTTCCTTTTTAATCGTGCTTACTGCCACCTCCCATTTCCCTCTCCCCCGGCTCATTGTCTGACTCTGCCAGTTCCAAGCGCTCTGGGATGCTACCCCACATATATATAATATATAAAAATATATATAAATGCAAATTGCTGTTATTGTTGAATTACTTTACATAGAGGGTGGTGCTGATAGTATGTGGAATGTATTATCTGGCTAGGTCGGCAGTGGATGCAAATTATATCAGCAAATTCAAAAGGGAATTAAATTACTATTTGACCATGAAATCGATTGAGGTGGTATGAGAAGCAGAGTGTAGTCTTTTTGTTTGTTTTGTGACCGATCATATGAATCTTTCTTGTCCTGTATCCCTGATCCTAAATTCGAATGACACTGGGTCATCAGAATTAATGCCATCCCATTACCCCTGCTCAACACTAAGGTTTTCAGTGCTAATATGATGTTGTTAACTTGCCACATGCAGAGTGCAAAATATTCTGCACGCATATTTTTAATGCTCACAGCAATATCACCTCCTTAATTTTTACACTAATTAGATTCAGGCACCTTTATATTAATTCAGCAAAGCTGTAAAAAAACAATAAGCATATGAGGTGTTATGAGTGTTTGTTTAATCTATGTCAAGCTGTACCAGAAACCCTTAAGCACTGTATATTTACATTTAGTTGCCATAGCAAGCCAAAGAATATTACCTAGAAGGGTAAAAAAACAAAACCTTATGTAAACAACCAGTTATCATTTATCTACCCTGCTTTATATTACATTTAAAATGTTAAACTAATGTACTGCATAACATTTACATTGTCAGTTCCCCCGATATATAATAACCATGAGCGTGGAACCTAAACTGTGGTCCTTTTTGAATTATCGACTCCTCTTTATTTTTGACCGCTGTGGATTGTATTTTCCCCCATGACGGTATTTGTTGAAAATCAATCATTGTCTGTGGTTGATTCTGCCTTTTACAATTTGCTGCTGCAATTGGCAGAGACCAGCATGGTTACCTTCTGATCAGCTCACAAAAGCTTTTGCTTAACCATTGCGTTTGTGTTTGCCACCATATATTTTATGGGGTTTTGTATGTATTGGGTTATTGTATAGGAAGGAGGTGACCATAGGCATAGTCAAAAAGGTAGGTTTTAAGACAGGACTTGAAGATGGATAGTGAGGGGATGAGACAGAACGGATGAAAGGAAAAAGTTCTAGAGGCTAGGATTATAGAATTGGAAAAGATGGGGGATTGGGTAGGCTAGGGGACATGCAGTAAGCCTAAGTTACCTAAGTGGGCAAGCAGAGGAACGGTGTAGGAGGGGATCACACAGTAGGGAGGTGCTAAAATATGAAGGGATTTATAGGTAAGGGTGAGGATCTTATAGGTAAGGGTGAGGATCTTTAAATCAATCCACTGGGAAATGGATACTGAATGGAGATTGGTGAGGACTGGGGTGATGAACATATGGTGTTTGGTGGAGGTGAGGATGCAGACAGCGGGGTTTTGAGATGTGTTAGTTTGTGGATGGTGGAGCTTGGGAGACCAACAATTTGTGGGTTAGAAAAATCCAGCTGGGAGGTGATGAAGGTGTGGATAAGGATCTCAGCAGCATTTAGAGTGAAGTAGGGGCAGATGGGAGCAATGTGGTGTAGGGGGGTAATATTTTTAATTACAAGAAAAAGGGAAACAACCCCTTATAAGATAATAATCCTTGCATTTAATATACCACTTTATCATTCATCAAAATCAAAGCCCTTCATGGTATTTTACTGTGAAGCAGAGTGATTATATTTATAGAAAATCATGCTATACAAAAGATAAATAATTTGTCGAAAGCTAAACTGAGTGTCAAACGATAATGTTAAATTTCACCTTCCAGTCGACTATAGAGCCCGAGGTATGCTGATATTAAGACTGTGTGTGGCAATACACTAGGATGTCTGTAATTCCTAAAGGAGTACCACACAGTCTTTGTTGATTTCCTCCATCTAGTGGATTTATTGTTTGATTATTTGGCTTGACCCGTGGGTTAATGGAGATCAGTCAAGTTAAATGGAGTGCAGGTTTTCTGACACACACAATAACTGCATCTTATCAATATCATCGGTCTACAGTGAAGGTTAAGATAAACTCATATGGTACATTTTATTTATGCACCGTATGAGCTTATCTTACCTGCTCCCTCGACCCCTCCCTACACCTCTCCTTACCTCCCAGCTCCACCTCCTTGCCTCTCTCTTTTCACAGACATCATAAACCTCTCCCTGGATACTGGTACTGTTCTCACCCCATTAAAAACCGCCGTCATCACTCCTATCCTTAAAAAACCTTCCCTGGATTCAGCTCTACTCTTAAACTACTGCCCCATCTCCCTTTCCTCTCCAAGGTCTGGAACGATTTGTTGTTTCCAGCTTTGCTCCTTCCTCTCCTGCCACTCCCTTCACGAACCCTCCAATTGGGTTTCCATGCCACCCACAGCACAGAAACAACCCTGGTCAAAGTGACAAATGACATTCTATGCATCTGTGAGCAGGGCTCCCTCTGCCTCCTCGTCTTCCTTGATCTCTCTGCTGCCTTCAACACTGTCAACCACTCTATCCTCATCCACCACCTCTCCTCTCACCTCAACCTTCATGGCTCTGTTCTTGACTGGTTCAGATCGTACCTCTCACACCACCATGGTTTCTCCTCTAGCCCCCACACCATCTTGTGTGTTGTTCTTCGGGGCTCTGTCCTTGGTCCTCTCCTCTTCAATATCTATATGCTCTCTCTTGTTGACATCATCCGCAGACATGGGGTCAACATCCACATGTATGCAGATGACACCTAATTCTACCTCTCTGCCTCCACCCTTGACTCCAGGACCACTACTGTCCTGACAGAATGTCTGTCACACATCAAGTCGTGGATGAGAGCTAACTTTCTTCAGTTGAACGTCAACAAGACCGAGGCTCTCCTGATTGGCTCCTCAGGCGCTGACAGCATCACCATCCATGGTTGCACACCCCACCTTGCTAAGCCAGTCCAGAACCTTGGGGTCTTGTTTGACCCTCAACTATTCTTTCTACCCCACATCTGCGCCATAACCCGCTCTGCCTTCCCCCATCTCTGCAACGTCGCCCGACTCCACCACTGTCTCACACCAGAGGCCGCTGAAAGCCTCATACATGCATTCATTACGTCGAGGCTCAACTATGCTTGTCGGCCTCCCCAACTCCTCCCTTCACAGGCTGCAGATCATCCAAAACTCTGTGTTCTCTCCCACACTAGGCTCCGTGACCCTATCAACCCCATCCTCGCCCGACTCCACTGGCTTCCTGTCACACAGAGGATACAGTTCAAGATCCTGTTCCTCACCTTCAAAGCCCTCCGTGGCCTTCCTCCCCCTTACCTCTGCGACCTCCTAACCCTCTACCATCCTGCTCACTCCCTCCACTCTGCGGTTCCAGCCTGCTTCATGTCCCCCGCCTCGCTCGCCCCACTAACGCCGGACTCTGCGTCTCTGCGGACACTAACATCTGCGACTCTGCCCCCACCTTCTGGAACTCCATCCCACAGTCTCTCCGTCTCACCCCCTACTTTGCCTCCTTCAAGACCCATCTCAAGAGCCTCCTCTTTGACCGTGCTTTTGATCACTCTGCAGTTGATCACTCTCAGCTCAGGTCCGAAACTCTCTCTGTCTGTCCAGTGCCTTGGGACGTCTTCCTGACGTGAAAGGCGCTATACAAATGTAGTTATATTGTTGTTATTTTAATAATCTGACTTTTGATTTTTATTTAGCTTCCACACCACATACTGAAAGCTACTTTCAAGATTGATCTGTATTTAATAATAATAATAATCCTTGCATTCGATATAATGACTTAACACATCGTCGATACATCTGAAAGTGCTTCACAGAATATATTGTAAAGTGGATCGACTGTGTATTTTGTTGGTGAAACATTTCTTATTTGTAAAAAAAGGTGGAAAAAAATGCAATAACGATAATAATAATAATAATAATAATGCTTGCATATCGATTGATGTAGCACCTTATCGTGTCGTTGAGACGTCTCAAAGGCGCTTCCCAGAATATACTGCAAAGTGAATTGAACTGTATATTTTGTGGGAGAAACGTAGTGGCAATAATCCACACACACACACACACACATCTCTGAGTAATAAGCAGAAAAGATGTGGTAAATAATTCACTGCACTGTGTGTGTGTTGTGTGTGTGTTGCGTGTGTGCTATATCCAGAAGAGGTGGGAATAATATCCCACAGCGATGCCGAGTTTCCGCGCGTTGTTGGCGGTGCAGTGAAGAGGTTCGGGTTTTACAGTGTCCGCTTCAGAGGCAGAGAGTCGCCGCTCGGTGGCTGAGAAGCTGTGAGATCCTCCGGTCAAACCCACCGACTGGAGCAGAGGAGCGCCCGGGACTCTCCGCCTTCGCTTCGCTTCGCTTTGCTTTTCTCGGGGTCTCTTTTTTTTGGGGGGGTTGTGGGGGGGGGGGGCGCAGGAGGAGAGAATTGTTGGGTGTTGAAGTTTGGTGTGTGCAGATGGAGCTGTACGGTAAGGTAAGGCGGTGCTACTGTGGCTGCACTTCTGCACATCGATTGCTCTCTTAAATCCACCCAAACCCCCAAAAAAGACACACAAAAAAGAAAGAAAGACCTGTGGGTCCGTCCAGAGAGGGTTCGTTGACTGTGCAGATGTTAGACACACACACACACACACACACACACAGACACTGACTGACTGGGTCTCCAGTGGGAGATCAAAGTGTTTAAAAATACTGTACATAACAATTATTGTCACTGTGATAATTGTTACATATATGCAGTGCAGTTGGGGTGGGGGTGGGATGTGTGTGGGGTGTGTGGGGGTGGGGGTGGGGGGTGGGGGTGGGATGTGTGGGGTGTGTGGGGTGGGGGTGTGTGTGGGGTGTGTGTGTGTGTGGGGGGGGTGGGGATGTGTGGGGTGTGTGTGTGGGGGGGGGGGGTTGTGTGTGTGGGGGGGTGTGTGGGTTGTGTGTGTGTGGGGGGGTTGTGTGTGTGGGTGTGTGTGTGGGGGGGGGTTGTGTGTGGGGGGGGTTGTGTGTGTGGGGGGGGTTGTGTGTGTGGGGGGTGTTGTGTGTGTGGGGGTGTGTGTGTGTGGGGTGTGTGTGTGTGTGGGGGGGTGTGTGTGGGGAGTGTGGGGGGTGTGTGTGGGGATGTGTGGGGGGTGTGTGTGGGGGTGTGTGTGTGTGTGGGGTGTATGTGTGGGAGGTGTGGGTGTGTGTGTGTGGGGTGTGTGTGTGGGGGGGTATGTGTGTGTGGGGGTGTGTGTGGGTGTGTGTGGGGGGGGGTTGTGTGTGTGTGGGGGGGTGTTGTGTGTGTGGGGGTGTGTGTGTGTGGGTGTGTGTGTGTGTGGGGGTGTGGGTGTGTGTGTGTGTGGGGGGGGGGTTGTGTGTGTGTGGGGGGGTGTTGTGTGTGTGGGGGTGTGTGTGTGTGGGTGTGTGTGTGTGTGGGGGTGTGGGTGTGTGTGTGGGGGGGGGGTTGTGTGTGTGTGTGGGGGGTGTTGTGTGTGTGGGGGGTGTGTGTGTGTGGGGGTGTGTGTGTGGGGTGTATGTGTGGGAGGTGTGGGTGTGTGTGTGTGGGGTGTGTGTGGGGGGGGGTGTGTGTGTGGGGGTGTGCGTGGGTGTGTGTGGGTGGGGGGTTGTGTGTGTGTGGGGGGGTGTTGTGTGTGTGGGGGTGTGGGGGTGTGGGTGTGTGTGTGTGTGGGGTGTGGGGGTGTGTGTGTGTGGGGGTGTGTGTGTGTGGGGGGGTGTTGTATGTGTGGGAGGTGTGTGTGTGGGGTGTGTGTGTGGGGGGGGTGTGTGTGGGTGTGTGTCTGTGTGCGGTGTGTGTGTGGGGGGGGTGTGTGTGGGGGGGGGGTGTGGGGGGGGGTGTGGGATGTGTGGGGTGTGTGTGTGGGGGTGTGTGTGGGTGTGTGTGTGGGGGGGGTGTGGGGGGGGGTGGGGGGTGTGGGGGGGGGTGTGGGATGTGTGGGGTGTGTGTGTGGGGGTGTGTGTGGGTGTGTGTGTGGGGGGGGTGTGTGGGGGGGGTGGGGGGTGTGCGGGGGGGGTGTGGGGATGTGTGGGGTGTGTGTGTGGGGGGGTTGTGTGTGTGGGTGTGTGTGTCTGTGTGCGGTGTGTGTGTGTGGGGTGTGTGCGGTGTGTGGGTGTGTGCGGTGTGTGTGTATGTGTTGGGGGTAGTGGTGGGGACTTATTTTATTGTCTTTGCTATAAAAGGGGTCTGGGAAGCATTTGCAGGGCGTTTTTTTTTGGGTGGGGGATATTTCTGCGATGTGTTTTTCTTGTGCCGTTTCCTCGCAGTAATTCCCCTCCCCGCCCTTCCATGAACGCCCATCCATAAAGCGCGAGGCAGGGAATATCACAGGGAGCCATGGCTCTGAGCTCAGCACAACACACACACACACACACACACGGCAGCGAACACACAGCGAGCGCAGCAGCTGGCGCGGAGGGGGTTCTGGGAGTTGTAGTGCTCGGGACCTGGTCCTTCCCGTGCGCGGGGCCGGGCTGCTCGCGGGCCGGGGAACTACAAATCCCAGAGGGCCGAGCGACGCCGGCGCATGCGCAGAGGGGAGCCCATGCCAATACAAAAGTGTTTGGCTCTGGTCCCCAGTCAGACTGATACACACAGAGCTACTCACTCACTCACTCACTAACCATGAGACAGGAGGCTCCTCTGCAGGTCTGTATAACCTTTGCTATCTCGCACATAGCCATTTCAAAGCCACAAGGTAAACGATGACCCTTTGTACTTATTTATTTTGTATAATATTTAATAATTTGTGGTTTTTTTTGAAAAAAAAAGAACTTGTTCTATCATCACCTCCTCCCAGCAATTTTCTGTGCCCCTCTCATTTCTGTCCATCCACTTAGGATGGCATTAGTGCCATAACCAAAACTGGAATGGTGTCTGGGAAAGAAGTATTTAAGTAATTGCATGATGTTCAGTTAGTTGTTTCATTGCCCGTTTGAATCAGCTGGTCCAATAGTCTGATTTTGTTTGATTAAAAAAAATCTTATAGGATTTAATCTACATATTAAATCCAGATTTCTGCTTTTATCAGTTTTCCCTGAGAACCATCTCAGGTCAATTTAATTTCGGCTTTTACTCTCCCCACTGATGCTCTCTGTAAAATTGTCTTTTGAGTTTCAGAATTTGTAGTTATAAAGAAGAAGGACTTTTAAGGTGCGTGTAGATGAGAAATAAAATAACGGATGCATTACTGGATCCAGAGCGGATTGCATTCTTCATTTATTACTACGGGGTGTGGTATCATTCTGTTGGCAAACACTGCCTCAGATAGTCATTGCTTTCATTCCTCTTCAGCTAATTTAAGTGGTGGGCTCATTTATCAAAATGTCTGGTTGTCCGAGTTGTTAATCACCAGCTTGTAAGTCCTGCTAAATTGTACGTCCACTTTTTATAGTAAGGTCTGGAAATATTTTATGACCAAATCTTTGAATGAGGATCTTATTTTGTGTGTTTCAAAGTACACATACCTTTTATACCAACAAACCTCAGTCAAATGATCTCCTAGCAACATTTCCATGCTCACAATTGTAGAACAGCAATAGGAAATCATCTCTGGTTTGAGCTCATATTAATGTTTGTTATTAATTAAGACCCAACATTGAATATATTTTTATTTGGCAATTATATGTTTGTTCAGTAGATATTTATGATTATAATGCAAAATAAATTATATTTATTGTTAATCATGCTTTTGTGCAATTTAAATATTATATATTTGCATTGATTAACTTAGATGATAAACCATTACTCAATATCTATTTCATATTATAAAGGGGTAGAATTTGAAAGTGATCATTGGACTTTGCCACATTCAAAGCATTTTTACGCTTGGAAGAAATAAATCGTGTCAAACTGCATTCTGTTTGCTGTGATGTTTTCACACTGCATACAATGCACGCTCAGATATGAAAGCACCTGGAACATAAAGTATTGCTGATGCTGCTGCTTGGTTTTACTAATTTTGAAGATATTCTTTTAAATGTTCATTTTGATATTAAATATGTTGACGTGAGTAAAGTACCACTATTAATCCCAGCCATAAAGAAAACGTGGATCACTGGAGAATAATGGCTAAACTGTACACTATAAGTGTCAGCTATTCGAGCACTACCCAGTGAAATCTCCGATCAGCTGAGGAAGCAGTGACTTGGTGACATTGGATGTGGTTAGTATTTGGAGCAGTCCTGTCTGTACCAGGGCTTGAGTACGTTAACCTTGAAATTTGAAATCGGGGGATGGGGACAAAGAAACATCAGAAAAAGACAAGTAGCAAACTGCTGGCTGCTGTGGAGCAAAAGATAGGTTTTTCACCATCTTTTGCTCCACAGCAGCCAGCAGTTTGTAAGCGCTTTCCCAATGATTTAAACCTCTTGTTTGGTCCTTTTATGGTAGGCCTGAAATTTCACTGGTTTTAGCTTAAATTGGCCTTGAAATTCCCAACCATGCAGAATTTTCAAATTCTTCAATCCAGTCCGAATTTGGTTGTTGGTTTGCTTTAGCTCTTCATAAAAGAAATGTGGAAAAGCGGCTTCAAAATTGAGACCGAAATTAAGAATTGCCAAATTCTCCACAATTTGAAGACAATTTTTGTAGATTTAGACAGAAATTTGGAATTCCTCTGCTGATTCAATGAATTTGACTTATTTTTGCCTTCTAGTGGAATATTAATCCACTGATCCCAATCACCCTAAGGGTTGGACAAGTGGCCTTTCTTGACAGCTAATGACAGCAGGCTGACCATCGCAGCTGAGCTTGATACTGTCGTCTCCCAATATTAACATCCACACAGCTCCAGCAGGGGTCAGCTAACTGATTCCCCTCTCCCTCGTTTTGGGCACAGAGGCCAATTGTAGCACCATGCATTACCTTTGCCTGAGATGAGCTAATTCAGCACAGATCAGGGATTGAATTTGGGATGGTTTTGTATGGCTCAGTTACTAACTGAATCAATTCTCTAAGCTATCAGGAAAAGCTTTGCCAAAATCTTTATCTAATGGAAGGCAGTTTTGCTGAGTACTGGCGGATGATCCAAATGCCATCGCTCATATGTAAAGAAAATATTGCAATTAGTATTTGATTGAATTAATATTCAATTTGATATCACTTTCATTTGGCAGATAATAATTATTGAATGTGGGTTTGGACAGAATTTTTTCAATTGTGAGTAGAAAGATTCTATCCTTTTAACTGGTGGTATAAAATTGCGTTGCAAATTTATGTCTATTTGATTCAGTTTTGGGATATATTTAACATCCCAAAACTGTTTTTATGTTGTAACTTCCTGTACATTAATGTCAGTGCTGCATAATTGTTAATCATACTGAGATCATTGGCTGCTCCGGAATTTTTGTGCCAAATTAGAGAACACAAAAACAGAAGTCACTGGGAACTCTCAGCAGGTCAGGCAGCATCTATGGAGAAAGGAAAGTGAGTCAACGTTTCGAGTACACAGCCCTTCAACACAACTTGGTTGAAAATCTGTGATGAAAGTATGACCTGCTTCCATTTGTTACATCAACCAAAGTGACCCCCATTACAAAGGCGTTATTCCCAAAGGGTTGGAGGGTGATCTATGAGGAATGAGGCCAAAGTGATCCCCAACAACAACAAATTGTATTTATACAGCAGCTTTCACATTGGGAGGACATCCCAAGGAACTGGAGCTCTCGGATGGAGTTCTAGTGGGTGGGTATAGAAAGGCTAAAAGTCTGACCTACGCTGGTGATGGGGGCAGAGTGGGGGGCGTGGAGCAGGCCAATGCACACCGAGCAGAGGAAGTGGACAAATTGGTAGGAGTTTAAGAGGTCATAGAGAGAGGATGGAGCAAGATTGTAGAGGGCTTTAAAGGTGAGGGCAAGGATTTTAAACTTGATCCTCCGTTAGATGGGGATCCAGTGAAGCTGGACGAGTATAGAGGTGATCAGCTTATAGATCAATGAGGTTGTTCCCCCAGTGTTGGAGGGATAAGCTAGGCCTCTCAAGGCTTAGAAAGAAAAGGCTCAGATGTGTAGGGTGGGGGTGGGGACGTTCCTGTGGGATATTATAGATATCCTATTAGATGCTAAACAGGTTAGAAAAAGTAACCCCAGAACAATACTTTACATATCTAAAGGCAGCAGAACAAGAGAGGGGTTGTGAAGAACAACTTTAAGTCAAACACAAGGGAAGTTTCTTGACACAGAGGATGATCGACACTGGAGTAGATTACAAAGAAGAGTGGAACAGGTCAGGACATGGGATTCACTTTAAAAATCGAACATTGTAATGGGAGGACAGTAGGGGTTGGTATTTTGAACAAAGGAAATCAAATGGACAGAAGGGCTTTCTTCACCCAAATCTGTTTTATGGTTTCTTGTGCTGCAGGATTTTTGCTGGCGCTACCCTAGAGGTGTTATCATAGAATCATACAGCACAGAAAGAGGCCATTTGGCCCATCGTGTCTGCGCTGGCACCGAAAAGAGCAATCCAACTCAATCCCACTGGCCCGCTTTCTCTCCATAGCCCTGCAATCTTGTCCTCCCCAAATACCCATCTACTTCTCTCTTAAAAGTTGTTATTGAATCGGCTTCCACTACTCTTTCAGGTAATACATTCCAGATATGAACAACTCGCTGGGTGAAAAAATATTTCCTAACCTCCCATCTGTTTCTTTTAACAACTAACTTAAATTGGTGTCCTCGGGTTACTGACCCACATGCCAGTGGAAACAGTTTTTCCCGGTTCAACCTATCAAATCCTCTCATGATCTTGAAAACCTCTGTTAAATCCCCTCTTAATCTTCTTTGCTCTAGGGAGAATAATCCTAGTTTTGCTAACTTCTCCTCATAACTAAGGTCCTTCATTCCTGGTACCATCCTGGTACACCTCCTTTGCACCCACCCTCTCCAGTGCCCTAATATCTTTCCTAAAGTGCGGTCCCTGGAACTGAACGCAGTACTCGAACTGAGGCCTAACCAGCATTTTATAAATATGCTAAAAAAAATCCCTGCGTTAATGTGTCGTCAAAACATCTCAAAAGGATTTATTTTGAAACGTAGAGATGAGTGTATTTTGTAGGCAAACATGTCAGCCAATTTGTGCACAGTAACACTCCACAAAGAGCCAGGAACTGAATGATCAATTTTCTTTAATCGGTGGGGGTTGGTCAGGACATTGAGAGAAACTTCCTTCTCAGTTTGAATAGCTTTGTCAGGATCTTTAACGTCAAAGAGGTTGACAGCACCTCAGTTTAATGTCTAATCCAAAGGAGGACACTTACCAACAGTGCAGCACTCTCGCAGCACTGCACTTGAATGTCACACTGGAATGAGTTCAAAGTCCTTGCTTGGAACTCAGAGGCAGGAATGTTCCTGACTGAGCCAGGCTGACACCCACTGTTATATAACCGTTTGTGATATTTGATTAAAATTGTATCTTTGAGATGTTTATTTTTTCTGGGGAAAGCGCAATATAAATGCTCTTTGTTACTATTGTTTGTCAATGCTGTAATAGTTTGAATCTTGCAGATTCAGATTCTCCTTTGCTTCATTAATGTTTAAAGTGACTGAACCATTTGAACATATTTTATATTCCAGATGGCGGCCACACAAGATTCTCGATATGGGCAAAAGGACACGGCTGACCAGAACTTTGACTACATGTTCAAATTACTAATCATTGGCAACAGCAGTGTTGGGAAAACCTCATTTCTCTTCCGCTATGCTGATGATTCCTTTACATCTGCCTTTGTAAGCACTGTGGGTATTGACTTCAAAGTAAAGACCGTGTACAGGAATGAAAAAAGAATCAAGTTGCAGATATGGGTGAGTTGATGAATGCAGTTATGGTTTAAACCACTAAGATAAGCTTCAATATAAATGAACAGCTTGGTGACAAATGTATCTTTCTGTGTGGGTCTATTGCTTGAGGATATTTCTTTGTTCAAGGATTCGAAAGATGCCTTTGTTAAGTAGTTGTGAGAAGTTAATGCATCAATCCTGGTAATGATAAATACCTCAACCCAAAAGTTGCCGATACCCTTGTCCATGTATTTGTCACCTCTTGGCTGGAATGCTCTAATGCCCTCCTCCCCGGTCTCCCCTCCTCCACTATTCACAAAATTCAGCTCATTCAAAACTTCGCTGCCGACATTCTCACCTGCACCAAACTTTGTACTCCAGTTACTCCAGTCCTTGCCAAACTCTACTGACTCCCTGTCACAGAGCGGATCGACTTCAAGATCCTCACTCTAGTGTTTAAATCCCTCCATTCCTTGGCACCCCCCTATTTCTGCAATCTCCTCTCTCCACACAGCAGTACCCACTGCCTCCGCTCTACTGGGTCCAGCCTCCTCCATGTCCCTCGAATCCTCTGCTCCACCATCGGCGGCCATGCCTTCAGCCACTATGCCCTGAAACTTAGGAACTCACTCCCTCAACCCCTTCGCCTCGTCCCCTCCTTCCCCATCTTCAGGTCGCGTCTGAAGACCTTCCTTTTCCACCATGCCTATGATCACCTTCCCCCTCACTCGGACTCGGCCTCGGTCTCCACCATTGTTAAGCGCTCTGAGACACCGCCAGGCGTGGACAGTACTGTACAAATGTTACAAGTTATTGTTGTTAAATGGGAGGGAAACGGGGAAATCCATTTTGTTGTTGATCAGAGCAATACATCTACTCGCTCTGAAAATAATCACTATTTGCAAACCTCTTTGTAGAGAAGATTCATCACTGAAAAAATACAGCTCTAGCTCTGGTCATGTACAAGTGGTTGACACAGAATGTAGTTGAAATAGACAGGGAAATGACTACAGCTCAGTTTGTTTTAAGATCCCTTTGGTCAATGCCATGGAAACTGGGAAGAAAAACTTTGCAAATGGTAGGTTTCTATCAAGAGAACAAAATTCTCTTTTGTTGTATTGCATGTACTTTATTTTTTGCTTGTACTCAAAAGGAATCCTTTAGGAATTAGAATTCAGTGTGAATCAGTGAACATAGAGGTGGCTAGTATGTATGGTGAGGGGGAAAGTGAAGATAATAGTAATAATCCTTGCATTTGATATAGCGCTTTTCACGTCCGGAGGACGTCCCAAAGCGCTTCACAGAACACACTGTAAAGTGAATTGACTGTATATTTGTGGGCGAACGCGGCAGCCAATTGCGCACAGCAATGTCCCACAAACAGTCGTAGATTGAAAATGACCAATTTATTATTTTTGGTTTTGGAGGGATTATTATTAGACGTGTGGAGTAAGGAAACTTGCCCAAGGTTTCGCCCTGCCTGGAATTGAACTCAGGTCTCTCACTTGCAAAGTGAGTGCTCTAACCACTGAGCTACAGGACTCCACAGTCGGCTGGTCTGCAAACATCTCTCTGAGGCTGAAGGCAGATGTTCGCGTAAAATTGACAAGAAAACTCTGAGGCTTAGTACGACAGCTACTGAAAGGCTCCAGTGCCTTGGGACATCCTCCCGATGTAAAAAGCATTTTCTAAACGCAACTTTTTTGTTGTTGTCAGAACTGGAGTGAGTGACAAAGACATGCCATTTAGTGGGTACCCTAAATAGTACACTGAGCGCCAAGCAACTGCTACACAAAGTTTATATTTCTAACCAGGGTAGGAACTGTATGATGAGGTCTGCTGGGTGGTGTGAGATCTACATTTTGTGCAGCTTGTCCATATTCTTTACCATATTGTTTGAGAAGAGTACCTTGTACCAGCTAGCTCATCAACGAAGAGCTCAAACTTGAATCCGCGCAGAGCTCAAAGGTCTGATGACCAAATTGCAGCTATTTTTCTAAAGAAGTGGAGCTAAGTACTGGCTCCATAATAATAAGCCTGATGAAGATGAACAGAGCTGAGTCAACTTTCTATTGTGACTCTGTGATTCTCTGATCCAATATATAAGCCAGGCTCATTTCAGTGTATTGTTGACCGGCCAGCCTGGCATCTCACTGAAGATGTAGACTGTCACTGGGACACAGTCTTCCCACTCAACTCCTGGTAATTCTGCAAGCCAACTCCATAACGAAGATGGTGTTTTTATCTGAACAAGACCACAGGAAATCTAGCTGTTCCGTGTGTGGTTTCAGTTTGGTTGCTGCCAACCTGTACTAGACATCTAGACATGAACAAGCAGGGTGTCTCCCTCCAGAGTGTTAGAGTGATTGTACATTCCAGAACCGACAAGCAGGCAACGCTCACTCAGCTTCTGTGAATTCTCAGTTGGTGGAATCTTATGCATGGCATGTATTGTGCACGTTGAACCCCAAGCTGACCAAGAAAAATGAAAATTCTGTTAATATCTTTTTTTTCAAGTAGTGATGTTTGTAAATGATGGTTGGCAAAGGCACCAGGCTGTGCTCCACTCTCATCTCGCTCAGTGGTTAGAGCAAGCGAGAGACCTGGGTTCGATTCCCGACAGAGCGAAACCTTGGGAAAGTTTCCTTACTCCAGACAACTGATAATAATCCCTCAAGAAGAAAAAATGATGAATTGGTCACTTCAATCCACAACTGTTTGTGGGACACTGCTGTGTGCAATTGGCTGCTGCGCTTCACCCGCAAATACACAGTCAATTCACTTTACAGTATATTCTGTGAAGTACTTTGAGATGTCTACAAGATTTTATTTATAATTTGTAATTAATTTTATAATTCATTTATTTTTAATATGGTAGGGAAAAGTGTTGCTGGAGAAAAAAAAAGTTGTCAACTACTATGAGTATTCAGGAATCTGTCAGACTGGTTATTTTGTTATTAAAGGAAAAAAAAGCTTACAATTACAGCATACGTGCAGCATTAGTGATACAATTATCTGTTCATAAAGTCCTACTGCTGCTTAGTGCCTGTGTTCAGATGACGCGAATGGATAATTTCATTACAGGAGGACAGTAATCCATAGATAAGGTCATTTTCCTCTTTAAAACCAATTGGTGCTCCTCCAGTTCCATACAGATGCACATTGCAGGTTCTGTCTGGCTTTCAGAGCAATCAAATTACTATACCAACTGTATTATTGACCGTTGCTATCGGTCACGCAGCATCAACCAGTGACTTTTAATCATTTGTTAATGGTACTGTAAGATCAGATGGAACATTGTTTGAAAATTAGGTTTGATATTTGAAATATCTTTTTAATCTTATTCAGACATTAAATAATGACATATCCGTTCTGTTAAATAACATTTAAACAGCATTTTATTCAATGGCTGTGCTCCTTGCTTGCTATAGAAATGTTCTGAATGTAACCTTGTAAACTGCTCAAACAGTATGAAATTCTCCCATTACAGAATCTGGTGTAGCTCTATGGTAATTTCAAGTGAATACAACAAACCAATTACTAATTCACAAGGCAATATTTCGGTAATATTAACATGCAATTTGGGTTGTTTCACAACATCATGAGAGATATGGCTGAAGAAGCATTTTGGCTCATTTGATCATATTCCTCTTAAATGAATTTACTGTTCTGGCCTTAATCACCTTTTTAGTAACATGTGCCAGCCATTAATTATCCTCTGTGTAAATAAACGTTTCCTAATGTGTGTCCTAAAATTTCCCTTCACAACAAATAGGCACAGCATTAAATGTGCCTGTTTATCCTGCTGCCTTGCCATATCTAAATTATTGTTCTGGGTTAAACGTACATAAATCCTTAAATGTAGGATGGCAGGTGGACAAAGCTGTGAAAAAGCTAATGGAATCTTGGGTTTTATAAATGGGGGTATAGCATATAAAAGCAAAGAGGAAATGCTAAACTTATGCAAATTGTTAGTTAGACCGCAGTTAGAATACTGTGTCCAGGATTGGTCACCCCATTTTCGGAAAACTGTCAAGGTTATAGAAGGGGTGGAAAGGAGATTTACTAGGTTGATACTGGGGATGAGTGGTTTGGGCCTATGAGCAGAGACTGGAGGAACTGGGACTTTTTCTTTTGGAACAAAGAAGGTTGAGGGGCAATCTAATAGAGGTGCTTAAAATTATGGGAGGTTTTAATCGAGTCAATAGGGAGAAATTATTTCCGCTGGCCAGTGAATCAGTAACTAGATAGCATCAATTTAAAATAGTAGATGAGCAAAGGGGAGCATAGGAGAANTTTTTTTCTCACAGAGAAGAGTTAGGTTATGAAATGCCCAGACAGGAGTAGTAGTTGAGGCAAAATTCATAATTGGCCTTCAAGAAATGGTGAAAGGGACTGAAAGGAAAGCTCTTGAAGGAGCCGGCACAGACACAATGGGCTGAATGGCCTTCTCTGTGCCGTAAATTTCTATGGGTTTGCTTTCTCTATTCCATTTAGCATCTTAGACACCTCTCCCCTCTGGAGTAGTCTCTTCAAACCTGAACAGCCTTAGTTTATCTGGTCATTCTTTCCTTCTAGCATTGGGTAACAGTTCTTTGGGCTTTTCAGTGCTACCGAAAACAACAAAAAATATTTTTCTACTTGTGACTTTTAGTAATACATTCAAAATATTTCAGTAGTTTTTTTGGATCTCTTATTTGAATATTCTCATTGATTAACTTTTAATATTCTGGGAAAGATACTGAAGTTGCATTGTCCTTCTATCAGTGACTCGTTAAAGTGACTGTCAAGCGCTTTGAGAACCAACTATAATTCATGCAATTTGTATTCATTCAGAAGAACTTGGATAACAATTAAGTTGAATGATGGTGTTTCTTAACTGGATTCTTAATAAGCACTCTGAGTGACAAGTGGGGACATCTAGTAATCAAAATATGTTATACTAACTTACATCTGTTTCCATTTACAATTCAATAGTCCTTGTAAAAGAATACAATGGAGAAAAAAATATTGCAATTTAGTCT